AAATTAGTTTCTGGTTGTGGACAGAAGTGCAGTGAATAAATTATACACAAACCTTACCAGAAATAATGGAATTCACATTTAAATCATCTTCTTTATTGAAATTAGAATTGGTTTGAAGTCCTCTGTAATAATGTAGGGTTTTAGTCTAACTAAACTTGAGGATTAGGAGACCATTACTTGAAGAAATACAACACAGTCACACTACTTAATTAGGAATGTAAAGGTGTTTTATTTTAAAATCAACTTCAAAAGTGCCCGAACAGTTTGTAGAATACATATTAAAACAATTTTATGCATGAGAGTCGTAACTTTTAAGCTTAAAACTACATCAATGATAAATAGAAGATTTAGGATACACGTTTTAGTAGAGCGAAACTGGCTAATTTCAGAGGCATATTATGCACTAGCATACAAAAGGAAATTAATGGGTTTATATTTAAATAATTTAGTCTGTGAAAGTTAGCCGTTATAATTGGAAATGTGCCAAGTGCTATTATACACCATTCTGACTTTGTGATCATATATCTCACAAGTATAAGAATACTGCCTTTCTCAGCTGAAGTGGTTCATTCCCATTAATGGTTATTGACCTTGATGCAACATCTGGTTAATGTGGTGGGAATCTGAAAAGGTAAAAAGGACCTGACCCATGACCTCGATAAAGATACCTTTCCTAAATTAATAATAATAATCCTTGCGTCTGATCTAGCCCCTCATCACTTCTTGCTGACGTCTCAAAACGCTTCACAGAATTTACTGTCAAGTGAATTGACAGTGTATTTTGTCAAGTTTATCAAGATTGGATGAATTAAAAAAAAACTTTTTGGAATTTTTTTTTATTTTTACCTTTTCAGAACCAGACACATTGACAGTGAATGGAGATTTTGATCTCCGGCACTTGTACACCTCAGACAAAGTGCCTTTCTAGATATTTTAGATGCATAGTTAACAAGAGGTACTGTCCAGAGAGAGAGAAAAAAACAAGGATTGGAAGAAGGAGTCAATGCACCAGAATTTGTTCCCTAATCTCCTTACAGGGTTTTAAACATGACACCATATCTTTTAAAATGCCATCTTTCCCTACAAGAGCGTGAAAATACTTAAAACAGTAGCTGTAATGTGCACACTTCCTGGACATTTTCGCTCATAGAATGGAGCGCTTCAAGCTGCTTTTATGCACAGAGATAAAAGTGTTGTGACAGAAGACTGTCTGCAGGATTTGCACAGTGTTTTATGACCGTGTTGTGCAGCTAAATGGATTTCAGCTTCTTCCCCGTCAACAATATAGGCCTGGCACCAATCTCTGGATGAATGCGTTTCATATATATATATATACTGCAAAATACTAAGCATCTTTCAACTTTTTTTTAAAATTGTATAGTGGAATAGTTATAAAAGGAATAGAATAAAATCCAAATGAGATAATTTTTGAAAATGATTGAAGTTTCAGCAGAAGAAAAGACTCCCAGAGTTTTCTTATTGCCCAGAATAAGAAGGACTTGTCAATCACGATTAAGCCTCTAGAATCGGAATCCCTTTGAAATGCAGCTGTTTCTTCTTTAATTGTGGCGACGGATGCTGAAAAAAAAGGAGAGAAGACCGGCCTTAAAGATGGGTAAGGAATACAAAACAGCTCGGGATTAACTCCCCGGTTCAAAGGTCACTAATTACACTAAGGAGTTCCCAGACACACTGAAAACACAAAACAGGTCACCTACCAAACTGGAAACAGACTCTGCCTTTTAAAAAAACCTTTCTGAAGTCGTGGGTTTCCAGACATGACCAAGAGGGGGATCAATGGGATCAGCTGACCACAATAGGGAAAAACGATGGGCTTCTCCTATGGCTCTTTTGTGTCATTGGAGGATTGGTTCAGAGGAACCATTGGAGGGCTGGTTGTAGGGGAAACCCAAGCTGCAGATGGCAACAGCTTTCCCGTTTGTTCATTTTTTTTTCCAAGTTGGAAGCATGACACAATTATGGAAGGCAGCTTTTCTGAAATAAATTAGCGCTCATCTGGCTTTCAACCTGCGTCCCTCCAATCACCCACCCCGTCCATTGCCCTGGGGCGGGTTAACCTAGACACACACCCACACGAACAACAAGGTCAATGTGAGTTTACTGTGTCCAGCACGTTACACAAAAAAAACGCTAAAATCCTTGCTTTGTGCAGGGAAGTTCGATTCCTGCTAAAGAGACACCACCTCATGTTGCCTCTTACATAATAATAATAAATAATTCTTGCATTTGATATAACACCTTATCACGTTGTTGAGATATTTGTATAGCGCCTTTCATGTCGGGAGGACGTCCCAAGGTGCTGGACAGAATATATTGTAAAGTGGATTGACTATTTTGTGGGCGAAATGCGGCAGCCAATTGTGCGCAGCAATATCCTACAAACATTCGTGAATTGAGTGACCAAATTATTATTTTATATTTTGAAGGAAAAGCGATTTGTTAATTGACTAACAACCGGGTTCCTACTTACTGCTAGGTAAACAGAGGCGTGTGCTGTAAGGAAACTTGCCTAAGGTTTCACTCTCCTGGGAATCAAACCCAGACGTTCTTGCTTGCGAGGTGAGTGCTCTGACCAATACGATACAGCACTCCTACATAGATAGAAGCAAATTCAGAACAAATATTTCCCTTTCGGACTGAAGTGTTCTTAAAATGCCATTTTAAAGTATATTATTCCACTTCATTTAAAATAACGTTGGGATATTGCAGTATACAGCCCAAGCAGTAATCCAATACAATTTCCAAGGTTTGACTAGTTTTATTAACTTCAAATTGTTTCTGGTTGTACATTACTTTTACAGAAAACATAACATTGCGTGGAAACCTTTACTGTGCTTATGAGTCTTCAGTTGCTGCACACTTCCAGAAGCAGTTTGTGTGTCCCAGTTCCACAGTGTACAATCCTTCTTGGGGTGGGGAGCACACACATTTTGAGAATACAAGGCAGATTGACAGCAACCAAGGGACCTCAAAGTGCACGTTGCAGTGCTGCTGGAATTGAATTAACTCAAAACGTACAGCTTACCAGGAACCAATATGTGGCACCAGAAAGCTTCACACTATTAATCCAGCTGGGATCACCCTACTGATTAGGTCATCATTGGTTTGTATGGCTATCAATAGCCAGTGGAAGGAATTCTGCCTCTAAACAATCCAGATAGCAAACTACTGAGGGATAATAATAATAATCCTAGCATTTGATATAGCGTCTTATCATGCCTTCGAGTTGTCTCAAAGAGCTTCACAGAATGAAATGTAAAGTGAATTGACTATACTTTGTGGGCGAAGTTCAGCAGCCAATTGCGTACAGCAGTGTCCTACAAACAGTCGTGGATTGAAGTGACCAATTTATTCTTATTACTTCTTTGAAGAAATTATTACCCTGGAAAAAGCGATCCGCCAATCGACTAACAACTGAGTTCCTACTTACTGCTAGGTAAACAGAGGTGTGTGGAGTAAGGAAACTTGCCCAACATTTTGCACTATTGGGAATCGAACCCAGGTCTCTTGCTTGCGAGGCGAGTGCTCTAACCCCTGAGCTACAGGGCTGTATATCAAATATGGGTCTCTGTGTCAAATATTTTTGCAATATAACTATTCCTTGTTTTTTCAGAAATGTATCTGGTTATTTTTACTTGAGGGGACATAACCTATACAAAGAAATATAAAATGTGAATAAAATGTATTCTGGGATCGGCCTATACCAGCATTTAAAAAAATTATGAAATATATTTAAAAAAAGATTGTGCTTAAGATTCCGATTACAAACAGGGAAATAATGATACTAATCAACTTGCATTTGATTTAGCACCTTATCGCGTTGTCAAGATGTCTCAAAGCGGTTCACAGGAATTACTGTGAAGTGTAGTAACTATTTTGTGGAGATTAATGTGGCAGTCAATTTGCGCACAGCAATGTCCCATAAACAGCCATGAAATGATCAATTTTATTTGGGGGATTGTTGGTCAGGGCACCAGGAGGAGCATTTTTCAAATAATGCAATAGAAAGGAACCTTAACATCCACCTGAACAGGCAGACAAGACCTCGATTTAACGTCTCATTTGAAAGCAGTGCAGCTCTCCCCAAGTCCTGAAATGGGACTCAAACTCACAGCTTTCTGACTCGGGGGCGAGAATACTACCACTTCAACCAATCTGACACCTAAATATCAATTTAATAAGATAATCTCCAGAGGTTGCTGACTCCAGTCAGGGATTGGTTACATAGTAGTCTGTTCCCTCACCAAACAGCTATCAAGATTGTATAACACCACATTCACTCACTTGGTAACAAGGTGGGATTTTTCTTGTGTGTGAACACTGGTAGATGGTTGGAAAGCTGACTTAGGTAGGTCTATACGACCTAAGGATAATTTATTTGTGCAAATAGATCTCATCTCTGAGACACCGCCTTGGGGAGTAAGGAAACAAAGGCTCCGACTTGAAACCTTGCCTCCAGCTCCTGTTGGAACTGTGCTCCTGCTTTAAGATGGTGCTGGAGAGGGAGGTAACCATGTGTCATTCGCACTTTCTAATCGGCTTACTGTGCTGGGAAATTATCCATACGGTAAATTGTCAGATTTATCCCAGGTACCAACTCATTACCACTCAAATTGGAGAAACTTCAGATCATTAAAAGTGTAATTAATCTCTGGAGATTCAGGTTTAATGTTACTGCTATAGGTTGGAAGGCTAGTTACTTTGGGGGGAAGGGGAGTAATAGAGCAAAAGGACACTTTAAACCAAGAGACAACTGAGAGCCACAGGTGAAAACTGGCCAGGCATGTGTTAACACCACTGCTCTAACGCATTGTAAGCTATTTAAATTCCAGGATAGATGCATCTTTACATATTTCTTATGTTTTATGAATCTGCGTTTGTGACCTATGCGACATAACGCTGTACAGGTAGTTCAATTTATCCACTTTCTCTTATTTGTACCAATTTACAGTTGATCAAATAAATACAAATCAATGGTATTATTAAAGTTTTAATGGCAGCATTTTTTTATTTTTCTAAATAAAAAACAATGTTCTTAAAAAAAGTATTGAGTTACTGAAATTTCTCTTCTGTTACATTTGAAATAATGTTAATAGCAACAATTTGGAGTATAAATGTTGATTATTTTGCAACAAGCTATTATGCTGCTCTTAATATATTCTTGAATGGATATTATCAATCATGTTTGCAGTGCTCATTGTAGCTGCATCAATTATTAGTATATGATTAACTTTTCTTTAAGCACTTGAGTGACTGTTTCTCATTTTATACATTTCAAAGGGCAAAACAAACAGTAAAAATCCGCCTTTTGCATTACCTATGGATTTGAAACAATACTACAATACAACTGGTAACGTGAATCCATTTGGTCCTCATGATTTCATTAAATTAGGATATGAATGGCCTGCTGGCAACCGGTGCATCCCCTTTGGAGTTCCAGATGTAGTACTCTGAAGAAAGAAGTTCTCGGGCTATAAATAGAAAAACACAAAATTAACCAACAAAATGTAGTTCAGATTTTGATGCACTGCACAACTGACACTAACGTATAATTTAACAATAGACAAAGCTAAATCAGTTCCAGAACTTTATAAATTTTAAACGCTGCAAAATGTAAAGGTTTAGAATTTATGATTCCATAATGAATAACTTAAAGATGGTTAAAGTAAACTGGACTACTCAGTTCCAAATAACTAGAGAAGTGTGCTCCCTCTAGTGTTTGGCTCAAAAGTGACATTGGAATGAAGCAGTCAAGAAATAAGATGAAATGTAGAGGAACCAAAAGATTTTTTTTGTGGTGAGGGGGAAAAGAATAACTTTAACTAGCCAGTGAGTACAAGACAGGAATGGCAAATGTCTTGAGATTCTAACAATTCAGTTGGAAGTTTATTCCAGTAATCACAGGATTCACATCACATTTCAGATACAATTTGATGAAGTTGATATACACCCTCTCTCTCTTTTCCGCATTGTATTTGCTTATTTTCCTCATTGTAAGCGCTCTGAGACGCCGTCCGGCGTGGAGGGCGCTATATAAATCCAAGTTGTTGTTGTTATTCAGAATAAATTACTGAGCTGCAGAAAACATACAATACTGACCCCTGCAGGTGAAAGCTACTCTGGTTAATGGACAGTTCAAAATATTTACAGTTCAAACAATGCAAGAAATGTTCTGCTAGCTTACATGTGATGATTTTGGGTTTTGCTGAAGAGTACACTTGCACTGAATGCTGGTCCACACAGCACCCGGTTAGAGTATAATCCGGGATTCGAAAGTAAAGCTGTGTCAACAAAACATAAGCAAGAAAATGGAGGATTAGCTAATGGCTCCAAGGCAACAAGAGTGTACTCATGTTTGATTATCCTGACATTGTTAACTTCAGAAAATTTGCATTTATGCAGCTGGCATTCTACAGACGAACAATTGCCACAGTGGATTTCCCACTGAGAATGAGGTGAGTGGAACTCTAGACGCCTTTACTGCTACAAGGCTGATCCCATGAACAGATGAGCTGATACCATGTTTGTTGGAAAGAGAGAAATAACTCCCTTATAACACTGCACTGGACAATGCATTTTTCCATTGAACCATCAGAAACTATTAAAAAAAACATTCTAATGCGATCAGCAGCACTTATTCGCTTACATTGTGCTCACTTCTCTGTCAAGTTCTATCTCTCCCTCCCCATTTAGTTAGAGTCCCTGGATTTGTTTCAGCTCTGTTGATCCATGAGTGACTACGTGTTACATCAGGTTATGTCCGAAGATCAAACATGAGTTGTTCCACACCTCATTAGAATGGAGCAACATAAAACAGATTTGTCAAAGTAAACATCATTACTTTAAAATCATACCGAGAATATCTTACCCTAGTTACTAAACTGAAAATAACTTATTTTAGGATGCCTTGTAAGCTACATCCGCTTCCATGAAATGCCTGTAGGCAGATTCTGAACATAAACTATAATTATTTAGATGGCATTACATCTATGAAAATAACGTGAAATTAATGGTACATCATTCAGAAGGATTGAGAGGAACACCACTGAATTTCAGTCATTCAATGAATTATTGACCCTTTAATGATTTCATGCATCTAAAAAATAATGAAAAAAAATCTAAAGTTTAAAGATAATTGGTGTCATTGTAATTAACTGATTTAAATATTGCTATTATTAACTGAGGCTAATATATGTTACATAGAAAATGTTGTTGATGCTTGGTCTTTCTATACTGGGCTGTAGGCACAGATACAATGGATTAAATGACCCCCTTCTGTGCAGAAAATGTTGATGTTTCTACACATAAATATTGCAGCAATTATTCAAAAAACAGTAGAAACAAGATTCTTGACTAAAAATAGCACAATTTAAAAGATTTGCTCGTGCTTTTTGACATTCTACTTTAGTTTGAATGCTTAGTCAGTTTAAATATAAATTTATTTAAAATGACAAGTTAAAAATACCCACATACCTTAACATATGCAGTGAGCCCGGTGCAGAATGGATCAGTTATCTGCGATGAGTGGTTGACTGCACCAAGACCAGCAAATGCCATAGTACCAGTTAGAGATATTTCCAAAGATTTAGGGAACTTCTGACCTAAGAATGAAATAAAACACAATCCCATTATTTGAAATATATCCACGTATAAAATGTGTTGTACATATTTTTAATACTTCAGTGCATTCAGTGCATTCAACAACTAACAAACACATATTATCAACAAGGAGAGAATAATCTTATTCATGCCAATTAAAGAGCTCCAGAAATATAATCTCAAAACTCTTTCCAAAAACTTTACACAAAAGTGTAAGCGTAAAATCCACCTGTCTTTTAAAATAGACAGAATTCCCAAATTAATTTCTTCTACGTGCTTGAAAGCAGTCATTGTGGGAATAACTAACATGCAATTTAATTAGGGATTCTGAGTGAAGGAACATAGATGTCCCACTGCTGCACACTATACTTTGAAAAGCAGCTCAATGAAACCCTGCTATGAAATATGCTAGAAAAATAGTCTTCGTGTAGCAGTTTTTAAAAGTGCATTATTTTAAAATAAATCACTGCAAGTCCTCTAATATTGGGAAACGTCTTGTTGAATAAATGTCAATTAACTGAGATGTACATTAAGTCTCTTTGGGTGCCAGGAGGTTATTGTGTCCTGGTGGACAAATTACTGGACTTGGTGGCGTGTGCATATGATGAGAAAATCCCATTCTAATTACACACAATCAACTTCCGTAATTTTCCCAACAGGGGAAAAATATTCCCTGTTGTGTCCAAATTAGAAAATTATGAACAGAACACTTTCTGTGCTAAAATAGCTTGCATTTGTTTGAAATTACTTGGAAAAATTAACCGTTTAGATTTCTTATAAATAAAATTTCTTCTGAAAAGAGTAACCAATCAAATGTATTTTTCTCCATGTCACATCAGCTGGTTGACATATAGTTTGGTTGAAGACATTGTCTTCAGCTTAAAAATAGATTCCAGTTTTAATGTTGTGCACTTTGAAAGTATGTGCAGTGACCTATGTAATTAAATGTTGGGGTATCATTTACTTTATACTAAAGATTGACCTCATGAACTTTCACTAAATTCGTGGGACTTTTTAAAAACAAATCACACAATGTATAAGGAAGGACCACAGTATGTAAAGTTTTCTCTCTTGAAACGCTTCATAATAACAATAATCCTTGCAATTGATATAACGTCTTATCACGTCTTCAAGATGTCTCAAAGTGCTTCACAGAATATACTGTAAAGTCAATTCACTGTACATTTTGTGGAAGAAATGTAGTAGCCAATTGCGCACAGCAGTGTCCCACAAACAGTTGTGGATTGAAAGTAAATAGAAGATTTAATGAACTAACCAATGACCCAGATCAGCAAGCTTTTCTCCCGTGACACCTCCAGCTGCCCGTAGCTCACCTTGCAATCATTTTGCACAATTGGACCCCTATTCATCAATAAATATGAAAAGGGATTACGTTATCCAGATATAATTTAGAATGCTTCCAAATTAACACTTTTCTTTAACTACACGAGTACATTTTTTCCCTCCTTAAAATTTGTAACAAATAAGGAAGGCATTTACTGCTTACATCTGCAAAGAAATCTGACTAAACGCACAAAATTTAAATTAGACAGCAAATAAAGGCTTAATAATAGAGTACTTTGTATTTTGTTGACCCCTGCTGACTTTCTGAAGTTCCTTTGTATTCAAGAGACAAATAAGTATTAGAAGCTTGCTGCATCTTGCTCCGTTCAATCAAGGTTAATTAAATATGTTGTTCATATCTATGATGCCATTTACAACTGAATCAAAATGATATGACAGGCATTAACTATTTGAATTTGAAATGCCATAGTCTTGGCAGCTGAAAAAAATTTGAGTTTCGGTCTAGAAGGAGCACTTGATATAGTGCTCAACAGTTTGAATGGAAATCAATATTACTAATTTAAACAGCACGGTCACAAATAACAGCAATAAACATTCGAAAGATGGTTTAAATAGAGCTGCTATTTTGGTTTTCAATTCGTTTTGCCAACTAGAACTGAATTTTCTGACCCCTTTATTCACTGAATTCCCCTCAATCATTTCTGTAGCTGTATCTATACTACACACTAAGTATTTCAGATCAGAAGTAGTCCTAAAGTATTCATTCCTACGTTGAGAATTATGAAGGTTCATACAAAAATACCATGCGATTTGTCATATGAACGAGCTGCTTTCTTAAGTGGTTTAACATTTTATGGGAAGATATGAAAGAATTAAGACATTTTTTTAAAAAAAAGTACTGCATACTGCCTCTTATCACTGCAGCAAGAACAATTCTGAGCACAGAATCAATGTATAGTCACACGTCAGAAGTACAGCATAACTAGATGAAATGGTCATGAAAGCAAATTTAAATTATCACAATTTAAGCAGCAGATAAATGAGAAAAAAATGTTCCAAACATTATTGATGGTATATAATACTCTCCCTAGTCATCAACACTGTCCAAAACTGCAACATTAGGAGTATTAAATCTTAAACTTTTGTTTTGCCCACAAAATAGAGTCAATTCACTTCACAGAATATTCTGTGAAGCACTTTGAGACGTCTTGAAGATGTGATAAAGCGCTATATCAAACGCAAGGATTATTACTTGATTGTTATTAAAAGCAAAATGTAGTGATCTTGGTGGTTCTTTTTGTAATACGATACATTTCTAAATGAAAACAGACCACTTTGATGTGTGAAAGGCTTACAGGTGGGATAACAGAACAACAGAGGTCAAATTCAAAAGTAGACAATTTATGTTGAAAAGATTCTAGCCTTTCAATGCACTGCAATATAATCATCATTAAAAATACTGTATATATTTGGATGTGAATCGATTTAACTCATCTAAACTGTATCTCTAAATTCCAGTCTTGTTTGCAGTGGTTCTAATGTTCAATCTAAATTACTAAAGCAAATCCTTTGAGTAAACAGTTCCTCAGGACCAGTCAGTATTGTTTATCTATTTTACATACAGAAAGGAAAAGCCACAAGCCTGGTAAGCAATTTACTAAAGCAACATAATTGAAAGGGCACTGTGTTGAGTTCCACTGACTGCCTTTGCATCTTACCTCCCCTTGGTACTGCACACAATAATTTGGCAAATTTGGGATTAGGATATGGTCCACGTGCATTTGTGTTACTGGGCTGTATTAAAACCATCTCACCTAAATCAGATGAATGGCTACTTTCAATCTGTGTAGTGTACAAATGCTGGTGCAAGATTCTGATGTTTCTTTCCCACTCAAACATTACTCAGTGTTGACTCCTACACACCCATCCCAGAAACACAAATAGTTTCCTTTTCCAAGGAACAGATGAATTTCTTCATCTGCTATGTCTGCCAACATAATAATATTCACAACATTTCTAATTAATCTCATTCTGTAAAGCTCATTACGAGCTTTCTTTTATGATAGCTTTTCAAAATAATAATAATCCTTCCATTGATATAGCGCCTTATCATGTTAGAAGGACGTCTCAAAGCATTCATACGATGTACTGTGCAGTGGAGTGACTGTACTTGTAGGCAAACGTGGCAGCACAATTGCACACAACAATGTCCCACAAATAGCCAAGAAATGAATAACCAATTTTATTTGAAGGTTGGCCAGAACACTGGGAGAGACAGTAACTCCCTTTTCTTTTTGAATAGTGCCAAGGTATCATGAACGTCCACTTGAACAGGCAGACCGGACTTTGGTTTTAACTGTCATCCGAAGGACGGCACTTCTGACAGTGCAACGCCCCCGGCACTGCATTGGAATGTCAGTTAAGACTATGTGATTTCAAATCCTGCTGTGGAAATCAAACCTACAATCTTCTGACCCACAACCACTGGGCCAGTCTAACGCACTCACAATATCATATGAAGCACCGTTTTTTAAAAGTTTAGTCTGTCTAATTATTTTGTTGTAATTTTCCCCCCCGCTGGTATATCACCTCCTCTTGCTGGAGTAATGGCCGTTGTCCATGTGAGTATGAGTATAGGCAGAGGCCACTCAACTGCAGAGAATCCCATTGTTGAACCTGAACTCTCCCCATCTGGTTGCCACGCACGCACTCTATCAGTGGATGGTGCTGTATTGAGTGCATGAGCTGGTTTTCCCTTCCCTAACCCTGGGACTGACCCTGGCAAATGTAGCCTCCCAAGCAGCCCTGACTGAGACCAGCAAACTCAGCCCACAATGGGAAAGTCCCAGTGTGAAGCACTTGTTGTTAGCTCAGGAAATAGGTTCATAAACAAATAACAATTTTATAAATTGAAAATTTAAGATGCATTTATTAATTTGACTAAAGATGGCAATAGCAGTAAAGTAGTAATGATTTTCTCTCAAACAGTCCCCTTGGTTTGCACAAGTTTTTTACCTGTTGAAGAATGGGATGTGAGCTTCACAGTATTCAAATCCATTTTTGACACTTTCATGTAGTTTCAGATGAACTGAAATCTTCACTTGCTGATCTTCTTCCTTCATTTGGTAGAAGCCAAGAATTGGTGGGAGAGGTACCTGCAAACAAGGTGGCAACAATCTATACTCTTCAACATTCAAGTTCAATAAAATCAAATCACTGATTTTGCTTGTTTGGACATGGACCTTGACAATTTTAGACCTCTGCTGCAAGGTGGCTGGCAAGTCACAACCCTAATACTCTCAGGAATTAGGTAAGCAGGGTACACCTTATTGGGAAGAGACGACTCACTCCATTTCAGAGAGAGGGACGTTTCCATGAGTAGGTTGCATGGATATGTGTAACTCTGTCTGGTATGGATACCCTCAAATAAAAAAAAATCTACATTCATTGTTCAAGTAGGACTTACTGGTGAACATTTTAAATTATATATTCTAACCTGAGAAGTGTAGTAGCACAGTTTAAATACGTCGAGTGGAGGTGTGAAAGGAAACTTGTAAGGTCCATTAAATAATGAATCATCTGTGTCAACACTGTTAGAAGTGAGGATACTTGAGTCAACTGCACTAACACAGGGATGCACAAGGATATCCTGCAGGGGAGACCCATTGGTGGGTAGGTTCAGGCTGATGGTGACATTTGGCATGATTCCTTCCAGGTCACACTGCATTGAAACAAATGGAGGAAGAGGTTAGAAACAAATGCACGCGACAGAAATAAAAAATTCAAGCTTTCTTTTAAAAAATTAGCTGAGAACTTACAGAAAAAAAACTTTCAAAAACGGATCTGAAGTATGATAATAATATCCTTATCTAGGTTTTGCTGTGTTTATACTCCCTGGAGTGATATGGAACACAAAACCTAATTTATACTTTCCGTTCCACATTGCATTGTATCAGGCCATAAAATGATATTATTAAGTATGAGGGACATTAAGCTCAGAGACCACATCACACTTAATTGAGAGAGGATGATGTTTTCAGTAAGAATTACCAAGTTAGTTGGGATTTTAGTTTACACTGAAATTGTTACTTATTATCAAATTCAAGCTGAAAATAAATCAATTACACTTTGAAGTGATTGGTTTTACACTATTATTAGAGAGACAACTGCATGACTGGCTCTTTAATCCATTTTACAAATTGGTATCTGAATTTAGAGTTATGTGCATTGGCAGAATTCTAAAATTGAATTATGTTTTTTTATGGCCTGATACAATGCAATGTGGAGCGGAAAGTATAAATTAGGTTTCCTGTTCCATACTACTCCAAGCAGTATAATACGCAAAACATATTTAGGGACAAGATGCAGCAACTAGCAATGCATATACCTTCAATAGCATAAATTAGAATGTTTCTGTGAAAATCATTAGCTTAAATGAAAAACTTATAAAAATTTACAATTCTAGAGTAATCGCTTCAGTGTTAAAAATGGAAACATTTTCAGGAAAATGTGATATAATTATTTGTATTATTTGATTATTTCTGCCAAAAAAGGCTCTGATTTTACCTTACCTTACATGTTACTGTTCCATAGTCCTGCCAGATATCTGTGACATCTCTTTTGTCATATTGCATGGATCTAATCTGTTCAGTGATACAGACATTAACCTGTGGTTTTCCTTTGTATATGCCAGGCTTCCAAGATGGTTGTTTTTGAATTTGGGATGAAGAACTTGGACTATGAGGAAAAAAGCTGCCGGATAGTGTTTGCATCAACCCAAAGTCAGTATCTGTTGGAGTACCCAATGGGCATGCATGCATCAACATAACAGGCAATTGGGTAAGTTTGGCAGAAATTTCTGACTCATTTCTTTGTACCAAGTTGAAAAGAGCCATTAGCCCTGAAAGTAGTCCAAATGCAGGAGAAATTCCATTGATATTTATTAGAGGTGGCTGGGGAACTAAGGACTGCTCAACAAGAGGAAGACAAGCATAAATCATTGCATGTTGTGTAATTACTAGGACAGGCCACAGAACGCCATCTCCAATAGGCACTTCATAAACAGAGGTCTTATTTATTCGACAACAACTATCTCTGTGTTCTACAAAAATCTTGTCGGAATCAGTCATGCCAAGCTCGATCAAAAGTGCTTTTAGGAACACATGGTCCCCTGGCACCTCAGTGTAACTTCCTCCATTGAAGACTTTGGCCCTCTTCTCCACAGTTGGATATCGTCTACCAAAGAAAGAAAAGCTTCATCAGTTATCTCAATATAGGGCTTAAGCTTGTACTCCGCCTCTGAAATGCTGTACTCTATCCAGTGCCTTGAGACATCCTCCCAACGTGAAAGGCGCTATACAAATGTAATCCTGTTGTTGTTGTTGTAAAGTGCTTCTCCAACAGGTTGGAGAGGTGGGAGGTAAGAAGCCATATCTAAAACAATGAGTAATACTTTAAATTACATTATTATTTAGCGTTACTGGGACAAATGTAGTGGCTGACTGCACTGCTGACCCCTGTGGAGTGACTGACTGCATCTCTGGCCTGTGTAGTCAGGCTCTGCCACTGTTAAGCACTCTGAGATGCTACCCTGCGGGGTGGGCACTATATAAGTGCAAGTTGTTGTTGTGGTTGTGTAGTGACTGACCGCGCCGCCGGCCTGTGTCGTGAAGGCTGCACCGCAGACGTGGGTGCGGCGCGAAGCGCTCCGGGACGCTTCCCCGCTACGTAAATGCAAGTTGTTGTTGTTGTTCTTGCGGCGGTGGTGACTGACCGCTCCGCTGGTCCGTGTAGTGACCGACTGCACTGGTGGTGGTGGTGACGACGACGACGACATCAACAAATTACGCTTGTATCGCGCCCTTCACGTCGGGGGGGGGGGGGAACGTCCCAGGACCCGCAATGTAGTGACTGACTGCACCTGCGTTACCTGGAGAAGCGCACCACCGCCGCCGCCTCCCCTTTCTCGGGTCCGATGAGCCAGAGCGCGCGCAGGCTCATGGCTGCGGGCGGGCGGGCCGACCGACCGACGGTTGCTCTGGGATCTCGCGAGCCAAGCAACCGTCAAAGCCGGGGGGGCGAGCAGCAACTGCGCCTGCGCACTCCTCTCCTCCTCCCCCCCCCCCCTCGTACGCGCGCGCGGGGTCAGGAGCCGGCAGCTGTCTGCGCTGCGCAGTCGCTTTCCGTCTCCCTCCTTTACTGCGCAGGTCAGACGCTCGACTTCCGGCCGCGGTGCGGAGGCAAACATGGAGGAGGGGGCGAGCGGCCGCTGAGGGAACGTCGGTCCGAAACCCGCCCCGCCCTTTCCTCAGCTTCCCCCCCCCCGGTCCCTATCCCTGCCGCAAGCCTGAGCTCGAGCGGCGCGGCGTTTACCTCTCGAATTACCTCGGCCTTTTACTCTTGCGCTGCATTATGTAGACGTGTGCGAGAGGTGGGCGGTTAGGAGCGGCTCTTGTCGTCGAGCGGAATGGCTACTACAGCGGAACTGTTCGAGGTGGGTCCCGGCGCTGACGGCGCGCCCAGGCCTCCTGTCCCCTCTCAGCCCAGCCCTCTCGCTCGGCTTCTCCTCTATTATGAAGCTACTGGGTTTATTATTTTTTTTGGGGGTGGGGGGAAAAAAACACACCCTGGCGTCTGCTTCAAGGCGGACTTCCTTCCGTGCGCTGCACAGCATTGGGCGAAAAAATGGCTGACTGTTCCCAGGCGTTGTGCTGAATAAGCCGAGGACTGACGGTGGACAAGAGAGACGATGAAGGCTCAAACTGTTGTTCACTTTGGGCTGCGGCGAGTTGTATTTTTCAGTTGTGCCTCAGACTGCAGCCCCGCTGTCTCCATCGCAGTTCCAGACGCGCATTTGCGGTGGGATTTGATCCCACTTCTCAGATAAATCGACACAAACGTCCTGTCCCTGTTAACTGTGGTTCAGTTGTCAGGCGAGCCCCGAAGGCAAGGGTGGTGCTGGCACTTTTCCTGTACCACTGACAACACAACTTTGCAAGTGCCTTTCAAAGCTATTGTTCTACAGCACTGGGTTATTTAAGTGTTCATGAGCTAATACACTCCTGACTCTCGTGGGGACTGATCAGAAATCAGCATCCTTTTGATGCATTACTTTTTTTTCTTAAGCACTGGCAAAATAATAAGCTTTTCGGTTGTTGGTTAGCACTGAGTAGAGATAAACCATTTCCAATTTTTGCAATTTAAAATTGCTGGCGTTTAATAAAAGCCATCATCTGAAATGACTATTTCACCTATGGTTAGGCCTGACTGCTTTCTGCAAGATTGCAGTTTCCTCCTCTCACTTTTCCAGGCACCTTAAATTATGCCATTTCACCACTGTAACAAAAGTAATAATAATAATAATCCTTGCATTTGATATAGCGCTTTTCACGTCTGGAGGACGTCCCAGTCTTACATATCATCAAAATGTGGGTACACTCTGTTGTAATGCCACATCAACTGGTATTTTCTACTATTTCATTCATTTTTGTAGAATAAAACCCACTGGGTTATTTAAAAGCAGTTATAAGATATGGAGAGCTGAAAAAGATTCCAGACTTGTACTTTGAATGACGTATTCAAACACCATTACAGTGGTACTCTACGGATGGATTGGCAGGTTAACAGTGAGTGCATTCAAATATCGCCAATTGTCTAGACTTGGTGATTCACTTTGCAGTATATTCTGTGAAGCGCTTTGGGACGTCTAGAAGACGTGAAAAGCGCTATATCAAATGCAAGGATTATTATTATTATTTGATACCTGATGTAGTTACGTTTATAGTAATGCAGTGTGCTGTTGATCAGCCTGCCTGACTCATCAAAGGTACTGAGTGGATCGACATTTGGGGAGGTATTTAGGATTCTTTTCACTTGGCTCCTAATGTACTAAAAAGAAGTATGATTATAGTTGGACAAGCATGGAGATTACCTGTGTCATGTTCCTAATACCTTAACTTCAATCAACCTAGGCCTATGTGTTTGGATGTAGGATATATGATATGGCAATACTGCAGAACCTGACAAATGTTCTCAATAGCTGGAATTGAAAATTCATAAGCCTTTATGCTTGTCAAACACTGGGCAGAGCTCTATTTCCTGATCCAGAAATAGACCATGTTTAATGCGGAGTCCTGTAGCTCATTGGTTAGAGCACTCACCTCGCAAGCGATAGACCTGGGTTTGATTCCTGGCAGGGCAAAACATTGGGCAAGTTTCCTTACTCCACATGCCTGTTTGCCAATCAGTAAGTAGGAACCCGGTTGTTAGTCGATTGGCGGATCGCTTTTCCGAGGATAATAATTTCTTTAAAAAAATTGGTCACTCAATCCATAATTTGTTTGTGGGACACTGCTGTGTGCAGTAGGCTCCTGCGTTTTGCCCACAAAATATACAGTCAATTCACTTTACAGTATATTCTATGAAGTGTTGAGACATCTCAAAGATGTGGTAAGGCGCAATATCAAATGCAAGTATTTAAAAAATCATTGCAGCTGTAATTTGCTACACTCAGATGGGTAAATGTAGAACAAGTTTTTCCATTTTCCATGCTTGCCTATATAATGAAGTGCTAATTGAGGTATTCAGATTGTGGTTTGATCATTTGTACATTGAATATTGACTTAATGTAAAATGTGAGCTACTTTCTATGTAAAATACAACTAGTCTACTGCCTCAAGCCAGGTGCATTCGGCATTTTAGAACCATTTCCGTGCAAATTATGTTCATTTTAATTTATATTGAGTTTCTCATTCAATTACTTTAAGAATATGTGGTTAGTCTGTATGCATATGTATTTGCTAAGTGGTCCTTTCCAGGTGCCAAATGAACTACACCACTGAGGTTTTTTGTTTTATTAAACTATCTTTATTAGCTGTGACATTGCTTTGGACTGTAAATACAATAGTCGTTTCAGACTTGCATATCGAGAGGCTAATGTTACTTTTATTTTCAAAAATCTGTTGTCAGGAACCTTTTGATGTTGATGAGTACATTGAGCGGCTGGCATGGAGAACACCGGGTGGAGGTTCGAAAGGAGGAGCAGAAGCATTTGATCCAACAAGGTGCTGATTGTAAACGTGAATAAATTCCTTTAAGCCATGGCTTAAGCATTTACAGGATATGTGCAACTCAGGAGTGGTATAGTTTCATAGTTAAATGCAGATTGGTATGTGATTTAGCTTAAACTTCTTGTTCCTAATGAGGAATATGAAGTGACCTGTCATTGTTTGTTGATATTCTGTCACCCTGCACTGTAAGGACATTTTAGAAAAGACTGGTAAGCTAAATCCTGTATGTAAAAGGAGACCCTTATTCTTTTATGCATCCGTCAAAGAATTTAACTATTCATAAATGTATTCATTCCTATACAGTGTGAGTAATTTACAGAATTATTGGGTAACTGATTTAACAAAGTGATTTGATAAGATTTGAAGAAATACTTAAAAAATAACTCACAGAAATTGTAGTTATGATCTTTACTCTAAAAAGCTACCACTCCCCTAAGGACGCGAATTAAATTCAAACCACTTTGCATTAGACGTTGACTCTAAACTAAAGATGACAGTAACATGATTTCAGGCATTAGCACATTTGCTGTGCTAATTTTAACAACATTATGAATGACACATGAAATGACACAGCATAATGCTAGACTTCTGAAGTGAGAATAGCATTTTGTTGTGTACTATTAACAAGCAAGGGGTAACTATTACAAGATCAAAAAGGCAAATATATAGTACTGTTGAAGTTTAAAAGTTTTTTTTCATCCCAATTGTCAACCAATTGATACTCAACTGAAGTTCATAAATCAACATTTTCTCCATTCGTTCCTGGTCTACTCAAATTCATATCGAGGAGAATAAACTGCATAGCAAAAAGTGTTGAATTAAATTGCTTTATTGGAACTTTCCAAGATTTAGAAGCTGCAAATCCTGGGAACCCAAAATAAAACCTGAAAATGTGTAGCAGGTTGATCATCTGAAAGGTACATTTAGGTAAATGTTTGTGGGTGACTGTTCATCTCTTAGATGCTGATATCCTGCTGTAAATTTCCAGTTTCCTCTTTATATTCATAGTAACTTCATTATTGAAGTCCCTTAAATTGTAATCTAGGCCAGAGGATGGATTTAGTATAGGATGATCCACCCATTAATAATAATACTACAGTATTATAATAATACTGGATAACTTGTCTTCTGTAATGCTGTTCTGATAAATTCTCACCGCAAAAAGGATGTGCACATAAAATGTATTCTCAAATACAGATTAGTAGATGAACAATAAGGCTTACAAGTTACAAGTATGTGCTTGCCGATTATAGGATGAACTCCTATACTGTTAACTGGGCCTTGCTACAAAATCTTTAAACTTGATACCATGTATTGGTATTGTGTTGTTTGTTTTCTTAGTTATTATATGACTGAATTGTGTCCCTCAACTGGAATTAATATGGTGAGATCATATTCAATGGAATGCAAATTGCATTAGTTGCCCAACTGCTATCAAGGCAATTAGAAATATAAAACTTGCTTTACAATACTCTTGACTGAATTACAGTCAATGATATGTTCATTCATGTAAACTGAATTGGAGTATTGCATTTCACTGAGAGTCATTCAGTATTTTGCCCACAAATATAGTCAATTCACTTTACAGTTTATTCTGTGAAGCGCTTTTGAGACGTCTAGAAGACGTGAAAAGCGCTATATCAAATGCAAGGATTATTATTATTATCTGTCAAACGTTGTGCTGAATTAAGTTATGGTGTGGGGGCGGGGAGAACAGGAGAGAGGTGTGTATATTCTAAGTGAGTGATTAGGGATAATTGCATATTAGATTTAGCCTTTGATAACATTCACTGATTTTTTTAAATGTTGGTTGCATATATTTATAAAGATGTTTAGATTCTATTACTAGTATTTGAAAGTATTTACAGTATATTGGATGAAGGTATTCTTGTGCATCAGACTTTTAGAGGAGTTTGTCAGCCACATTGAAGAGCTGAAGATGCTGGATGAACGCATTCAGAGAAGAGTGGAGAAATTGGAGCAACAGTGCCAGAAGGAAGCCAAGGAGTTTGCTCGGAAGGTGCAGGAGTTGCAGAAGAGCAACCAGGTCAGTGAAACATCTTTGAGTGGGTTTAGTTCAACTTATACAAAAATTGACTTTTTAAGAAGTGAACTGTAATGTTTATATTTTGTATAGCATATTTCGCATTGGAAGGCTGGCCCATAGTACTTTATGGAATATACTATAAATATGCTGTGGTCTGTTTTGTGGACGAACGAGCACACTACGCAGTGTTCCATAAACAGCTTTTGCAATGAATCAGTCTTATGTGTCAATGAAACTAGTACAAGTATACTTCAAGTTAAAGTCATACTTGCCACTTTCAGTGTTTGTATGTCAATTTTGGAATGTAGGAAGGTTTCATTATGTAACTACAATATTCTCAATCTTGAATCAACCAGTTCTGTTCTTCCTGTTTTTAATCCCTTGCTGTTATTTTTATTTCAAGTGCACTGAAGCTGTTTGTAAATAGATTCGATTGTAACTGCTTTTCCTTTTGCAGTAATTTATTATGTACAGTACATCCTGGCCACAAGTCATTTCTTCCTTTGGAGTCCTGTAGCTCAGTGGTTAGAGCACTCGCCTTGCAAGCGAGAGACCTGGGTTCGATTCCTTCAGGGCAAAACATTGGGCAAGTTTCCTTACTACACACGCCTCTGCTTACCTAGCAGTAAATAGGAACTCAGTTATTAGTCGATTGGAGGACCGCTTTTCTGGGGGTAATAATTCCTTCAAAAAATATAATAATAATAAATTGGTCACTCAATCCACGAATGTTTATGGGACCCTGCTGTGTGTAATTGGCTGCTGCGATTTCGCCCACAAAATATACAGTCAATTCACTTTACAGTATATTCTGTGAAGCTCTTTGAGATGTCTCGAAGACATGATATATCAATTGTAAGGATTATTATTATTACCACAGTTTCAGTCTGTGTGATATCTAACTTCATTGCAGATGTAAGTTACAGCCCCGATAGCATTTGCACAGCAGTAGCCCTTAATGAGAACAGTTTCTGACAGTAGAGTTGAAGAAATCTGTGAAATTAATGTAATAAAGACATTACAGTTTTAAAAGAAAAGAAAAATCCAAAAGATAACGGCAGCAGGAAATGATTTGAAAAAGAGACGACTTTGATTTCTTGATTACAGCTAGCTATTTAAATGAAAGTTGGTGTTGTTTGTGTTGTTGTAGTCTAAAGAAGCAGGGAAGATGAGCATAGTAAATGCACCATTCTTACTGTGTTGCTCTCCCGTCTTTCCCCCTCTGCGCTGTCTCCTCTTGCCCCCGCTATCTCCGTGCCTGTGGGCTGATCACTCTGTCTACAGTCTCAAGTGCGAGTTTTGGCTGCTGCCCCCGACCCAAGCTGCTATTCCACAAAATGCCCCCATACCTGTCCTCAACCCTTCATCACTCCCGCTCCGTCCTTCCTCCTCACCGCCTATCCCCATTTGACCGACTGACAGGCTCCCTCTGCTCCAGCCTGGGAATCCTGTCGGGCTCATCGTGATATTTGCATTTGGCTGTCCTGATGCCCCATCCCCCATTATCGCCGCAAGGCTCGCTGACCCCAGACCCTGGGGGCAAACCTTTCCTCCCTCATCCACATTCCAATACTCCCAGTCAATTCTCGCACTCGTCTCCTCCCTCCCCCCCCCCCTCCCCCCACTGCCAAACTAGGGAGGGTGAAGGTGACCATAGGCACGGTCGAATGGGAAAGTCTTCAGGCACAACCTGAAATTGTGGAAAAAGGGGGCAAGGCAAAGGGATTAAGGGATGGAGTTCCATAGCTTTGGACAAATGTCATTTGTTGTTGTTCTTGCTCACAGGCACTATTAAGATGTTTTGTATAGTAGGTGGCCTAAAGATAGGATGGTACCAGAAATGACTAACAAGGCAGTGCTGGTAGTTAATAGAGCATGATAATCCATAGAGAAATTGTTCTTTTGTTAATAGCCACTAAAATGTCTGAACTGTCTTGTTCATTACTTGATGGAATCTATCTAGTTTTTCTTGTTTCTGATCTGGAACATGTCTCCCTTTCATTCTGGATCCTCACATCAATCCCTATTTTTTTTAAAAAAAAGAATGCATCCATTAAGGGGTTTGAATTTCATAGATATGTAAAGTGATATTCAACGAATTTAGGAGCTTTTTTGGTTAGAATTAAAGGGACAATCTTTATTTTTACTGTGAACTAATTCATCTTCAAGGTACATAGTCACTACACTTTACAATATGTCATGTGAAGTCCTTTGAGATCTTGTGACATGAAAGGCACAACATAAAATGTAAGTATTATTATATTGACTTTTAAAACAAAAAAAGCTCTCCTGATGGTCTAGGCATCAGGTGATAGACTGGAAGGTTGCAGGTATGAATGGTGGTCTGGGCTATTTAGCTAATCTCAGCCATTCCAGTGCAGCGGTAGTAGTGCTGCAATGGACCTCAGGGTTATGGTTGGGACTTCTTTAGCCAGTTTCACTTGTTCACTTTAAGCGCTCTGCAGACGCTGTCCTGTGTGAAGGTCGCTATTTAAATGCAGGTTGCTGTTATTGGTGATGGTGGTATCTAGGGATCTTGCAGTCTCCTTAAAGGAATAAAATATTTGGATGAAGTACTACAATAGTACTGTTAGATAGACTATTAACTTTATCAGTCTTTAGAATGAGACATTAAATCGATGTTAGGTCTGCCTGTTGAGGGAACATTAAAAATTTGTGGCCAACAATTTCTGAGTTTAAAGCAAGTCATTTAATTTTGGGTTGTTTGTGAGATATTACTGTGCACAAATTGGCTTTAGAGTAAAAGTCTGAACTGCCTTGAGATGTTTCAACGCGATAAGGTGCTATACCAAATGCGAGGACTGCAATGATAATGTTAGTTAATTATAGTACTTTTCTTTGCTTGTAGGTTGCTTTTCAACATTTCCAGGAGCTGGATGAACATATCAGCTATGTAGCAACGAAGGTCTGTCACCTTGGAGACCAGCTGGAGGGGGTAAATACACCACGGCAACGGGCTGTGGAGGCACAGAAACTGATGAAATACTTTAATGAGTTTCTGGATGGAGAGCTGAAGTCTGATGTTTTTACAAATCCAGAAAAGGTAAGCGCTGTCAGCGGGATAAAAGTGGCTCAAAGCAGTAAGCAGGGCTGCCCTAATTACAAGCTGCTACCGCGACTTACCACGGTCAGACTTCAAACCACTGAGCATCTAAACTTTTCAAAGAGTCCAACAATTTCATTGTTCAGAAATGTAAATTAAAAGTGGTAACCTGCAGAGTGCTGATAAAACGTTTGTGTACAGAAATTCAGAAAGTGGTGAGCTTAGTAATTTTTTTTCCATTTTATTTTACAATTTTGCTAATGAAGCCGAGTGACATTTTAGCTCTTTAGCTTAATCATATTCACACGGATAAATAAGTGAGATTCCCCCCCATTACATTTTTAATTGAGTTCTATTATAAGACTGAAGAATTTTAATAAAAAAAATAATTGAGCAAAGTCAATGTGAGTCACTATTTCTGGTAGCTATTTTTGTTCCTCTTGACAAAAGCACGTGGCACTTCAGTATTTCTGAGATTTTCACATTACATTGTGTTAGCATCTTCATCCCAGAGCCCACATCAAATCTGATTCTGTCTGTAAACAGTAATTGCTCAGTGTCTGTCAGTTTAATAACTGAAGCAGTCAACTTGACATTACTTCTGGGTGTCACAAAGTTTGCTTTAAGGTTTCTTAGGCTTATTACTGCATTAAAATTCTTTGCCTTTTTATCACTTTTGGCATAATTCCAGTGTCCAATAGCAGAGTGCTCAATTAATTTTAAATGAGGTTGAGAATAGATGGAATGTTTTTTTTTCCAGTAACCTACAGAGTAATAAAGGCACTCTAAATACTGAAAAGTAGTACTTCAGTCAAAACGTAAGCCATTATATCAGTTAATAGCAAACTGAATTTCCATTTTTAATTTCTGTTTACATTGATGTAAATCTGATAACATCGCTGAAGCAGTTGAGCCTGTCCTGAAATAAGAGCTTTTAACTGGGTTTTGTTGGCCATCTTTCATCCATTTCTCTGGCACACATTTTTTGCTGTATTCCAAAGTAAATCTTCTGGGTTATAGGAAAAGGTCAAGCATCAGTTATTGGGCATTACGTTGTCCGGACTTTGTTCTTAAATCTGGAAATATTAATGGAGCAAAACATATGTACTGCAACAATTCCATTACTTTGCAGGTTCAAAGCACTCAATAATCTTTGGTTTTCGTATATGTGTTGTCCTGACAGTGGCATTTTTTAATTTTCCAGCTTAATAGGTTGGGTAGTAAAAGATGCTGATTATATTTCTAAAATGCTTTTTTTTGTGTTGTAAATAATAACTGCTTGTAGAAGCTTCTCAACTGTTATAGAAACTTCTGAGTTATAGTTTGAAATCAAGAATTATTTTCAGATTGCAGGCCTCAAAAAAAACCTTGCAAAGAAAGGAGAGCTGACTAACATTTTAATGACTCAATTTTAAATGTATATATTACGTTGCAGATAAATCTTGCGTAACATAGATCACTGAGCTAGAATGACATTTAAAAATGGTCTGAAGGCACAAGACTTATTGTATTGACATGCTGTGCTCTTGAGTGTTAGAACCTGCCATTTACTTCCTCGTGGTAAACTCTTTGTTGACGGGAGGGATGGAAACCCAATGGTGAATAAAAATGCATCACTCTCATGCAGCTTTGTCTCATTTTAGTGCTCTGAGTGAGGGGAGCTATATAAATGCTTGCTGTTGTTCTTCAGGGATTGCTGTTGACAGTCACACTCCCGGCACACTTTACCAACTTATTTCAACTTGAAACACGCAAAGTACTGGTTCTGATGGTGTGAGCCTTTGCCCCAGTTATGTTGATACTGTTTAATTTTCCATTGAAATGTTTGTGTAAAATACAGAAGAGAGTGGCATTTTCAGATTCAGTTAATACAGTAATTACATTTTTCCCTGCAGATTAAGGAAGCAGCTGATATCATTCAGAAACTACACCTGATTGCTCAAGAATTACCCTTTGACAGGTAGGGCACTCTGCAAATAAGAATATCATGATGCATTTTGATGCTGGCAATTTAATGAAATGAGAGTGATTCATCATTGCATGTTAAATAACTTTAGGTTATTTATTTTACTAAATCAGCAAATATAATTTATTTTCCCACATTAACGTTCAACATCAAATGTGACAGTAGGAGCTGATCGATTTCTATCTGTTTTCCCTATTCCATTCTGAGGACTTTCAAAGCTCAGTAGAGTGATATACTAAGAATCAATCCCTCTGACGCTGAAGCAACTAGACTATAAGAGCTTTGTTTTTAAATGTGTTGACTAAGGATATTATGGATCTATAAATGTATTTGACTTCTGTTGCCTCAAAGCTCTTAATTTGTGAACTTCTACTGCTTCTCACTCAAAGCGTTCTTCTCTGCATTTGCTTTCTTACATCCACTGGTTTCTCCACTACTTTATGCCAACCTATACTCAGAATCTTTTTTCAAAAGCTCCAGTACACACTCTTATTATAACAATCTAGCATTTGATATAGGATCTTATCACATTGTTGTGACATCTCAAAGCGCTTCACAGAATATACTGTGAAGTGGATTGACTGTGTATTTTGTGGGTGAAATGTGACAGCCAGTTTGTGCAGAGCAGTGTCCCACACAAAGCCGTGGAGTGTGTTTCCTTCACTCTGAAAAGTTAAAAATTTTGAATTGTAGCAAAAATTTAATGTAAGTTTAATATTATAAATTAAAGTGTGATGTACGGTGGCTTATTCTCTATTTTTCTTAAAACATTGTTTACATCTGAAATGGGTCGCAGACCAAGGAGATCTGCATCTGAGGTAACAATGATCTCCTGGATCCGTTCTACTTGAGATCAATCCTCTTGTGGTCTATCCATAAACTCATGCACTATGCTTCTGGGATCTGGTAGTCTTATTGTTGCAGTTAGGACTAATTGCAAAAAGTGATACAGAATGTGATTTAAAGATGAGTACGTGGGAATTAGAGGGAATTAAAATGGAGTCAGAGAAAACAAGTGCTACTGTATTAAGTGACAAGTGTTTGATGAGATTAAAAGAAAATCTTGAAAGAACCAGACACAAAATTAGAGGAAACCCTGTGTGGTTGTGATAATAGCTAGTTCCAACACGTCAGCACGGACTTCAAGGTTGGGCCATTTGTGGTGGTAGAATTATACCAGTTATTATGCTGTAGGCGTAGCTTGAGGCAAACTGGACGTGCAGATGATCATGAAAGCTGTAATCGTCACCTGGGGCATGAGGTGAAGTGTAACCTACTTGTTTTCTGCTGTTAGAAAGTTTAGGTTGAGTTAGCTAATCTTGACCAACTGGGAGTATTCCAGTTGGCTTCAGTACTCCTGGAATAGAGAAGGGAAAAATGTGCCTGAATTCCTACTCCTATCACTATCCAGCGATCATTGCTGGAAAGCGTGTGTATTGACATTGGATGAGGAAAGGATTGGGTTCAGTGATGATGCTTTCTTTGGTTTAACTTCCGGCCCTCACTGGCGAGGCTCATTAGTGAAGAATTTGGGTGAGGTCCTGGAGGGAGGGTGACACCTGTCAAACTATACCCAGCAAGATTCAGTGCCCTCGGGAGAGGAGGGGGTGGAAAATTGTCACCAAAAAAAGGGCAGGAAATGTAAAACGCTGAGCAGCATTAACATTCCTGGAGATAAATGTAGAAAAACATTCCTTTCAGTAGGAATTTTAAGAGAAAAACAGCCTTTAAAGTTGACTACGTGTCTGAGATTTGATATTTTTGTCATGTTAGTTTTTCTAGAACACCTTTTAGACATGGAGATCACCTTCTACATAATTGAGTTAGACTTCAGAGACCCTACTTGATATTTTCCTCACTTTCTGTTAATGAGCAGCGTTTTAAATGTTGCTAATCATAAGCCTGCTAGTAAGAAAGCTGGACTGCTGAGAAATGTCATCTAAACTTTTAAATAACTTGATGTGCTTCCCTGTAGGACACATTTTATATCCCCTTATTTCAATATTGTATTGGGAATTTGATTTCGAAATTGAACATTTCGCAACAGGTTCTGTGGATTATTTTTACATTTTAAAATCTTTGCATAGATTTTTGGTTCAGGAAAGTATGTTGTGGGTCCCTTTGGTTGGTAGTGGCCAGAACATGGTTACCTAATATTAAAACCGTAACACTCTTTCCCTCAAGAAATTGTGCAATTGTCAATTCACTTTTGAAATCTGTTACCCTTAATTCCTTAATTCTTAGCTACAATAAGAGATGATTTTTAAATTAATGACCAACTTTTTATCCTTGTAGATTTGCTGAAGTGAAGTCTAAAATTGCAAGTGAGTATTTTACTTTTTTTTGCCTTACTGGAATGAGCAAAACTCACTGGGATGTGCTTATACGTGATTTGGGTCAGTCTCGTGGCCTAATGGCTCCTGAGACACGGGAGAGCAATACAAATTTAAATTTATATCACGCCTTTCACATCGGGAGGACGTCCCTAGGCCTTTAACAATACTTGCTTGGCAATCTGAGTTCTTGGTGTTGCCAGTAAAGTCCTGGTAATGAAAATGATTTGAGGTCAGGTGCTTTTCCCTGGATAAGGAAGAAAAGGACTTGTCATTCTGATGTCTAATAATAGCAAGTTACAGAGTAGCATTTTCTAATTTGGGAACAGCTATTCTGTTCACTCTTTGTCAGGGAACTGGGGAAGACACTGTGCGATCTTGCCTTTTCTATGAAACTCATTGTTAACTGGTTAATGATCACTGTCTCTGAATAATTTGACAAAATGTTCTACTGCAAAATGAAAGAAATCATAAATGGTTTAGCTGTTGCATGATGCTATAGAAATGTTGGCTTAAGTATTTGACTGAATCAACTGAGAATTTTATAGTTGGGCCTATTACAGTTGCATCACCTCAAAGTGCTTCTCGAAGTTTTACTGTATATACTGTGTATTCTGCAAGAGAGCATTGCAGATGATACACTATTTAAACTGAGTATTAAAGAACAATAGAGTGTGGCTACATACAAAACAGCTCCCATTATCTTTGTAGGTAAATATCATGACTTGGAATGCCAATTGATTCAGGAGTTTACTAATGCACAGAGGAGAAGTGAAATTTCCAGGATGCGTGAAGTTGCAGCAGTTTTACTTCATTTTAAGGTATGAACTGTTCACACTCTTTTTGCACTAAGTAATCCAGGAAACTTTGCTCACTAAGGCAAATATGTTGTCCTAACATTAATCTGCACTACTGAAAGTTGGAAGTAATTAAATATTTTCATAATGTTATATGTAAAATAAATCCTAAAGATTCCTTTTATTTGGTCAGGGTAAGAATATTCTAGACTTGTTACAATAACTTACAACCTTGATTGATGTCTGGCTTTATATTTTAGTAGACATCAGGGCTTTGTACAGCTTCTCCATTCTTCATATAAAGTTATGTAAGTTGTCCTCTGAGCACAATTGTTTGCCTATAAAACCAAGGAATTGTAGTTGTGGAGCATTTTTGATTTCCAGAGTAGTCATTAAACTTTTTCAAGTATAATTTTCAAAGTGAAACTTGTATGAAATATGTTGTGTTTTCCTGTTACCAGGGATACTCTCACTGTGTAGACGTGTACATAAAACAGTGCCAGGAGGTAATGCGTCCTTTTTATCCATCTTTTGCATGTTTTTGCCACGGCCCTTTGTTTTAAAGTTATCTAACGCCAAAGTAAACTTCTAATGTTTGGTATCACACCTTTTATTTCGATCCTCCATTCATACCAGTTTTCCTGTCTTTATTTTAGCCTATTTAATTAAAAAAATATCTGATAAGATATTTTTGTTCCAGGGTGTGTATTTGAGGAATGATTTGTTTGAAGATGCAGCTATATTATGCCAACGAGTAAACAAAGAAGTCCGGGAAGTTTTCAGCAGCCCGGAGAATGTGATGGCCAAACTTATACAGAACATTTTTGAGATTAAACTTCAGGTAACTAATCCCGGTGCACAGCTCTACACTTTCAGCCATTAAAGTCACTTTATCTTCAAAAATGCACACCAAAAGCATGCTGCCTTGCCTGTGCTTTAACACCATTACATATTCATTGTTTCTCACCTAAAGTTATTGAAAAACCTACACTGCTCCATAAAGAATAAGCGATAGCTCACCCCTTTAAGCAGTAAATGTATCTGAGTTCTGTTGTCATAAATGAATCACTTGAGCTTCCCTGAAAGCTTGCCATCATAATTACTGTCTTATGCTATCCACTGTTAAACATTGGTTGTCCCAATTTGCCATTTACTTCCTGTGATCTGACAGATTGCAATTGTGAGTTGCTTTATTTAAACTAACTCATTTATCAAGTTCTTAATTCAAGTCTCAAACGTTGGCATGGCTCATACATTTTGGAAGTCAATCTGTGGTTTTACTAGAGACTTAAATGTGCTGGTTGCTGCCAGTGTGCAATTCATAGCTAGTATTATGTTGGGAAACGACTGACTGATTCTTGAGTAACTATCCTTTTCATGTCTTTCAGAGTTTTGTCAAAGATCAATTAGAAGAATGTAAAAGGACTGATAGGTCTGATACAGAACAATACTTAAAAAGTCTTTATGATCTATATACAAGGTGAGATCTTCACACTGTTTCTTGATTATTTAAAAAAAATCCTCTCATACTTATTATTCAGTGTTAGTATAGTGATTAAAATTAATTGATAAAAATTATTTTCCTAAAACAATGTACTTAAAACTTGTAACCAGATCCTCATTCTCTTTGATCACTGACCTTCCATATTGGGCTGTTTGAGAAATATTTAAATTGTGGGGCTCTGTGAAATATTGTTACGTTGATCAGCACAGATTGATAAAACGCTAAATTTACTTTTTTTAAAAAAAACTTGACTTTGGCTATCTTTCATGTGATTCAAAGGAGAATGTTACTGGAGTGAAAAGTGCTGACAGAATCCAAAGCACGTAACATGAAAAGAAAGGAAACAAAAGAAGGGGATTAAGCGGATTAGAGAAAGGTTTAGGGAAATTATCTGAAAGGTTAAAGGAAAGATGCTCATAATTGACCAGTGATCAGTGCAAAACCCCACCTAAGCCTGTGAAGAAATGAGGTGCTATCAACTGAACACAGAGCAGTGATAGGCAGGTGTGGAATATGGTGGAAAATAAGGGAAAATACTTTAAAATCTTCAAAAGGTAAATTCAACAAAAGGAAACTGAAATCGAGAGATGAGGTGGAGGAAATTTGAAAGTTGAAACTGGGATCCAGACTCCACATAGTGAGTTGTGATTGGTGTAAGTTTGCAGATTCAGACTCTAGCTTGTTTCTTGCCTCATACAACTAGTGTACTGTCTTAGTATAGCAGCATAACCTTGTGCTGGCATGTGTGTCAGCCTGGCTTGGTTGATAGCACTTTCCTCTGTATCAGAAAGTTTGGTTTGAAGTCCCATGTCAGAACTTTGAATCACATTGTCTAAGATGACCTTCCAATGCAATTCTGGGAGTGTGCTTCATTGTTCGAAGTGCCTCCCTTCGATCAGACGTTAAACCAAGCCTGTCTGTCTGTTCAGGTGGATGTTTGAAAAAAACATGGTTGTATTTGACAAGACAACACTGTTTCTCCTGTTGTCCTGGCCACCAATCCCCCAAAATTAAATTGGTCATTCACTGCATGGCTGTTTGTGGGACATCGCTCTGCGCAAATGGGCTGCAGTGTTTGCCTGCAGAACATTCAGTGACAACTACACTTTACAGTATATCCTGCAAAGTGCTTGGAGAAGTTCTCCTGACACAAAAGGTGATGGTGTATTCCAGATGTAAGCATTGCGATAACTATTATACCCGCCTATGCTACATTTTGGAAATGAGTAATTCAGATCCAGTTTTCCCACATGACTAACATATCCACTGAGATTGCAGAGCCAGAATAAACCATCAGAGTTCAACATCTATGATAATAACAGCTATTCCCATTTTAATTCTATTTGAACACATGAGAATGCATTAACCAATTGTTATATTGTGATACTTTTATGTTTTGGCATTGATCCACAAGTGCTCTGATTTTTTTCTCTGTTTCTCTGTATAGTTGATATACCATTATGTAACATGCAAATAGTGCTTTATTATTCCCCTTGATCAGAATAATTGGTACAAAATAAACTGGTTTTCTATGTAAATTATTTACCTCTTCAATTCCACTAGCATGCAATGTGTACTTTGTAGAGAATAGTGATTTTGTGGACTATGTTTACTTTCAGTATTGCTTCTTCCCAACATTGGAAAATACAGAGCAACTTATTGACACAGCACATCAGTGTGCTAACATGCATGATAAGATGCAGGTTTTTCGCATTGATTTTTTCCGTGTGATAAATTTGCAACCAACCCACTGCTCGCACCCTACACTCAGCGGGTTCCGGCCTGCTTCACGTCTCCCGCCTTGCCCGGCAAACCTTTGGCGTGCGGGCCTTCAGCCCTCTACCTCCACCCTCTGGAACTCCATCATGCAGTCCCTCCGCCTCATCCCCTCCCTTGCCTCCTTCAAAACCCGTCTCAAGACTCTTCTCTTCGACCATGCCTTTGATCACCCTCCTGCACCCCCCCTGCCCTCTGCCCTCCCCGATCCCGAACCCCAGCTCGGATCAGAAACACTGACTGCCTGGTGCCTTGGGACATCCTCCCGACGTGAAAGGCGCTATACAAATGTAATTTTGTTGTTATTGTTGGTCTAAGTGGAGGTCAGCAACTTCATAGAAGGGGAAGTTAGGAGGTTCACTTTCACTACTGTAGTTGGTTGACAGAAGTCTAGAACTAGTTACCTTCCCCTCTTGCTACCAGAAGGTAGGTATAGCACTGACTGCCATGAGCCTTGGGAGAGAATAACTTGGAGTGGAGGAACAGGAGATTCTATTTGCAATAACAATGTTTTGATTTTTGTTTTTGACCTGCAGGTCTACAAGCTTAGCCAACAAAATAGCAGAGTTTGACCTTGGCACTGATAAACAGACCTTCCTGGCTAAGATGATCAAAGGCATTTTTGTCTCTTACCTGGAAAATTATATAGAAATTGAGATCAGCTATTTGAAAAGCAGAAGTAGTATGATTTTGCACCGTTATTATGATTCCAAAAATCATCAAAAGCGATCGTATGGCACTGGAGGGTAAGTGAAAATGGGTGGACAGAGAAAATCTCTAATGCTCTCTTCATTTAGCCTAGCTTACTTGGTAGCACTTTCGCCTTTGAGTCAGGAGGTTGTTGGCTCAAGCCTCAAGTTCGGACTTTGAATGTGCCCTCTCGGTTGACACTCCAATGCAGTGCTGGGGGAGAGCTGCTTTATCAGAAGCACTGTTCTTCAAATGAGATGTTGAACCGAGGTCCAGTCTGCTTGTTCCTCTGGACATTAAAGTTCCATGGCAAAACTTGAAAAGTTTGTCCCAAAATTTTCCAGATAAAGTTGGTCATGCACTTAATTGCTGTTTGTGGGACATTGATATGCGCAAATTGTCTGTCACGTTTTCCTACAAATAGCAGTCGCCACACAGTAAAATCCTATAAAATGCTTTGAGGTGTCGTAACGACGCGGTAAGATCCTATATCAAATGCAAGGAGTATTATTTTTATTTGCCAGTAATGAGGTGATCCTGTACTCTTCGTAATCCGTAGAACTCACAAAGTTGGGCTATGCTCTTTTCACAAATCGCCTGCATAGTTGGATGATTCCTGTTTGACAAACAACTTCAAAGTTGTGCCGACAAATAGCTGCGACATGTCTTGAGCGTTAGAGATTTGTTTTTTAAAGATGTAGCAAAACAGGAATTGTTAAATGCTAATTTTTAAATTTTCAATAGGGTTATAGCATTTCAAACGTAATTCTATCATTGAAAAGATTTTCTGATTGCTTATTCTGCAGATACAATTAATTTTAAATGCTAATGTTATCGTTTTGTTATTTTATGATTGTTGATAAATTCACCAAATCAGGTGTTGTGGGCTTTTAATGGATTTTTCAGGCCACAAGAGGAAATTTACCAACAAGTGGAAAACAACCTCTTTTCCTACATTGAGTAATCTTTCTAACCGTATTACCATAATTGAATGCAGAGTAATCTAGTTTTTGAAGTAAGATGTAGTACACAATCTCATCAAAGCTATGTTGCTAACAAATCAAGTGTAATCTACTTGTGAAGCCTGCAGCAGAAGCTGAGTGATATCTGAAACACTGGATTTCAGAAGAAGGTTAAGCTGGGTCAAATTCATCTGTTGAAAGCAATTGGTGATGGGTCAATCTGAAATGATGGGACAACATTTTTGTTTTGTTTCTCTTTTTCCTCTCCTTTCCTCGTTCACCTGAATACTTGCAGTTGATGACGGTAAACTTTCATTGTTTTTGTTTAAAAAAAAATTCATTTATTAGCCACGTGAACAAGTCTTTTTTAAAGAAAATCATTTTTATGAATACATCCTGTAGTTTCAGTCATTAATGATTAGTCAAGCTGCAGGTCTATAGGGCAAAATCTTTTTATCTTGGTTAAGCATTCCATAGTTTAGATACCTTGTATGAAAGAATAGGTAACCAAGGTTAAATTATCAACTGAATTTCTTATTTAAACATTGCATTTGCCTACAATTACACAGTCACTTCACTTTACAGTAAATCATGTGAAGCGCTTTGAGATGTCCTTCCGACGTGATAAAGCGCTATACCAAATGCAACTATTATTTTTCAGTTACTGGACAGTAGATGAATTCCATTATCAAATCATGTTCTTCCAAGAGTGGGAAAATATGGAGCTTCCTTGGTTAAGGAAACAGTAGTTAAGTCATGGCATACTAAGATCCATAAAGGGTTAAATAGTAAATAAAAGTTGTTAAGGGAAGTAATCACACCTCTCTGTAACCTAGCAAGATTTGACACCGTCACCTTCTCGATATGGTTTTGTACTGCTTCGGGCAGTCACTTGACCCATTAGACCACTAGAAAGCTTGAACTTCTTTTGAAGTCTTTTCCCAACTTTAACCAACAAATGTAATGGGTGGGGATTTTTTTGAGGTTTTAATTTTTTTTTTTACATCTGACTCTTGTGAGAATACCTGATAAATGTGATGATGAACAGTGTGCCTAATCCTCTATATTTATGATTATTCACTTTGTAGGATTCAGGATTTAAAAGAGAGAATTCGCCAACGTACAAATTTACCCCTGGGGCCAAGTATTGAGACACATGGTGAGACCTTCTTGTCACAGGAGGTAGTGGTTAATCTTTTGCAGGAGACGAGACAGGCCTTTGAGAGATGTCACAGGGTAAGAATGCTATTAAAAGTGCTTAAGTAAATTTTGGCTTTTTACTTTTGTTTTGTGTTTACATGGTACTAAACTCTTCCGGTTGGTGTATGCCATGACTTTCCTCATGCAAAGTGTTTAATGTCTGCTGATACAAGGTGGACTGCACACAGCAGCGCTATGACTGCAGCTGGTGCAGGATCCGCCTTCTCTTTAAACGTGTGCTTAATTTCTCGATGACCCACGAGAGGTTTTGATGAAGAAGTCCATTTGACCTCATCAAGAGAAGCGAGTTTCTCCTGATGTCCCGACAAATGATCCTCCAAAATAAAATTGCTCACTCACCCCATGGCTGCTTGTGCAAACTGGCTGCCATGTTTTGCCCACAAAATAGTCACTCCACTTTACAGTCTAGCCTGTGAAGCGCTTTGAGGCGTCTCAATGACAATAATAATACTAAACCCTTGCATTTGGTATAGTTTCTTATCACGCTTTCTAAACGTCTCAAAGCGCTTCACAGAATATACAGTAAAGTGAATTGACTGTATTTTTCGTTAGCGATGGTTAGTGAATATTATTACAATTTTTTGTATAGGGGCGTCAGAGCTTCTCAGCTGGGTGGGAATGGTATTTCGGTTACCCTTGGCCACCTCTTAAGCCAGCCAAAACGGCTATCCCCAATGTGTCCAGCTTAACTGGCTTCCACTGTTTTTAAAAATGTTATTCTTGGTTTACCTTCTCTATCCTACTTAATCTCTTAGATACCTCTAAGATGTAAATCGTGTGTTTGAGCATCCAGATTCAATACACACTCCAACCAAGTAACAGTGTAATTGGGCAGTATTATTTTGTCACTTATCCCTGCACAAATATAAATACCAGCGATACCTTTTTGATAAGAGATTCATTCTTTGTATTGTTTTACAGCTGTCAGATCCTTCTGATTTACCAAAGAATGCATTCCGAATATTTACAGTTCTTGTGGAATACTTGTGTGTTGAGCATATTGACTATGCCCTGGAGATTGGTCTTGCAGGTAATTTTGCAGAGTAAAATTTAATTGTGTACATACTTAGAGCAATGTTGGTGTACAATCAAAGTAGAATAAAATGCTATTCTTCACAGTATTGTGGGAATTTGGAAACTGGAACATATTTAAGGCAAGACTTAATAAAAGTGAATACTGGAAATGTGGAATTAAAAGGAAATGTAGGAAAGCCACAGCAGCGCTTGATCGAGTAAGATGGGTTTGTGTTTTGGCCTAATCAGAGCCCTTTCCAATAGTGGGTCATGCCTGTTCCTCGTACCAGTTCACTTGTATGTTGGCTTGACTCCGTTGGAAACTAAATTGGATATGTGCCTCTGAGAGGGAAGCCCCAAGCAAGGATTTTGAACTCGTAAAGTCTAGGTTGACACTCCAGTGTTGTGCTGGGGTTGTGATAGATTGTCGGAGGTATTGTTCTTCAGATGAGATGTTAAACCGAATAAAATACAGTCACTGCACTTTACAATATATCCTGTGAAGTATTTTGAGATGTCCTCCTGATGTAAAAACACTATATCAAATTTAAGGATTATTATTGCTGTAATTCTTTTAGATGGGTATTTACCCAGCTGTGGATTTTACACATTTTCTGGGATTAATAAATTACTTTTTTTTTCAGTTCATTGTACTGGTAAGAATTAGTGATAGATCGGGATTGAAACGTTGATTTTTTTTCTCTCTCTATAGCGATCCCGTCTACAGACTCGAAGAATGCAAATCTTTACTTTTTAGATGTAGTGCAACAAGCAAATACCATTTTTCATTTGTTTGACAAACAGTTCAATGATCATCTTATGCCACTAATAAGGTCAGTGAATGTTGCATTTGCTAAAGGAGCAGAATTGTTTTATGGTAGTTATTATACATGCATCTGAGAGGACCTGGGTTCGATTCCCCGGCAGGGCAAAACCTTAGGCAAGCTTTGTTACTCTACACGCCTCTGTTTACGCAGCAGTAAGTAGGAACCTAGGTGTCAGTTGATTCGTGGATTACTTTGCAGTGGTAGTAATTCCTTTTTATATAAAAAAATCTCTGGCCACTCAATCCACATTTGTGAGATATTGCTGTGTGCAATTGGCTGCCACGTTTCACCCACAAAATACACAGTCCACTGAATATACAGTCCATGGAGTCCTGTAGCTCAGTGGTTAGAGCACTCGCTTCATAAGTGAGAGACCTGGGTTCAATTCCTGCAGGGCGAAACCTTGGGCAAGTTTCTTTATTCCACACGCCTGATAATAATCCTTCAAAAAAAAAAAAAAATTAGTCACTTCAATCCACGACTGTTTGTGGGACACTGCTGTGCGCAATTGGCTGCTACTTTTCGCCCACAAATATACAGTCAATTCACTTCACAGTCTTCTGTGAAGCGCTTTGAGATGTCTAGAAGACGTGAAAAAGCGCTATACAAATGCAAGGATTATTATTATACACTATATAGTATATTCTGTCAACGACATGATAAGATGCTATATCAACTGCAAGGATTATTATTATACACTATATTTTATATTCTGTCAACGACATGCTATATCAACTACAAGGATTATTATGGATAGGCATTAAAAGTAACATTTGACTTAACAAATGTACCTGCAGCTCGTCTCCAAAATTGACTGAGTGCCTGCAGAAGAAGAAAGAGGTGATTGAACAGATGGAAGTTAAATTGGATACAGGCATTGACAGGTAAATACAAATTCATCACAAATTCATCACAACATGTTCATTTCGGGGGATATCATTAAACCCCCTCATTTTGTTTCATCAGACTGTTACAGCATCTCATTATCGTGCGGTTAATCATCCATTGGACATCTGGTACACGCAGCCTTTCACTAAACAGTGTAATCTTTAAGCTCCTTAATCCTTAAGGAAAATAAATATTTTTCCTCCCATAAATTCATTTATTTTGTACAGTAAAAACCCTTTTATCCAAATTGATAGGGAGACTCAAGTTTTGGTAATTGGGAGTTTGGAATGTACTTTTTTGCCATTATTGTAAATGGTTTAATATAAGGAAGGTTTGGAAACTTCATAGCTGGAGATCACTCTAGTAGTGCGAATGGATTTAATTAGTATTGTGGAACTTGCATTTGTTTGGGTGAAGCAAATGATAAACTGATATCAATGTTCCAGATTTTGTTAAATGTCCAGGTTATCTGAAAACTGAGAACACGATTTCTAGTGTTTAATTTGTATCAGTTTCATGTTGTTGTCTTCCCTGCCAATTTTCATTTTGCAAATAATTGTTAGATTAATTGGACTGAAAATGTCCATGTCTTAATCTTTGGAAAGCTACAGTGACTTTGTGCCCAATAGTAAATGTACAACAGTTCAGTACACGCAGGATACTATATTATGATATTTTATATTTGTTTAACTGTAGATCAGATGTACACTTGGATACTCAAGTTTTTAGAAAAATAATTTATGTATTCAAATATTTACTCCTTTAACGCATAATTTGATTTGTATATACTTGCTGTATATATGTACTGTACTTTTATTATCTAGTTTTATCCCAGCATAGAATAAAACAGTTACTGTATCCCACAATAAAAGTACTACTTTTTTTTGTTCTTATATTTGTGAAGGACGTTGAACTGCATGAATGGGCAAATGAAGCACATCCTTGGTGCTGAACAGAGAAAGACCGACTTTAAACCGGAAGATGAAAACAATGTGCTAATTCAGTATACCAATGTAGGTATTGTGAAATTAACCTTTTTAACTCTTAAGTATGTAGAATGTTATTCTATGCAAACTCTTGAATACATTATTATTCCCTTCCCCCTCCCCATTGTATGACTTATACCTTAAGGCTACATAGCCTGTGTTTAGTACAGCATATTGTCAAATTATGAATCTGGGTGTAGTCACAGTATTCTGCTCTATGTTGACAGGATTATCTATAAAGCAACTTATCTTGGTATGAATCTAATTTTTCCAGCACTGGGTTCCAAGCTCTTGGTTTACAGATCTGTTGTGCTAAAGTGAACTCTTTGCAGAATCTATTGCAAAAAATATTGACATTTTGGCCTGCTGTCTTTTTTTTCTTATGCAGTACCGTACAATAGTTCAGTATCTGTTTGAATTGTAAGAGTCGCGGTGGTCAAAGTGTAACCTTCAAAGGATTGCAGGATTCCAAAAGAATTCTCAAATATTCAATCCTTCAGAAACTCCGCTTCAAGAAATTCCTGGTTGGAGATTGGGTCAGAGCAGAGTTATTGTGATGCACATCTGGTTATGTGTAAAATTCACTGCCCTATATTAAATGTAAATTGGCCTTTTTATGGATTTTGTGCAAACTAAGCTGTAGTAGAGTGGCACCCTTGTTTCAATTCCACATTGTGCATTGCATGACTTGTTTGTCTCAAAATGCGAGACTTTACCACCAAAAGATTTTGTTTTTACACATTTGGAAACAGCTTGCCGCCTGTGTTTAGGATGTTTGGAGTTTGTTAGGATCCTGGAAGTAAGATTCTGGCAGAATAATATTGTGCCATTTAAAATAAATGTGGCTTGTTTTTGAATTCAATCTGGTTAGATGGGATATCCTCAAATAATCCAAAATAACACAAATTTTGGACTGCCTTGATCTACTTTCCTCATTAGTGCAAAACATATCTTTGTGTAAGAGGTTTCTGTCCCACAGCACTGTAAAAAGTGGAGCTGTGCAGCAGGAGACGGTTTGGAGATTGTTGGGGAGAAGGTCTACATTCATGCTATATCCATCTGATTTGAAAATGCAGGTGATGGATAATAGATTGAAATTTCGTTTGGATGACTGGGGTGTGCTCTGTGTTAATCAGTAAACATCTTTGAAACAGTATTTCCTGCAGTGATCTTCAGCCAGAAAGATATTGAAAATGTTTTGTCAAGATCTGCATTCATTTCCTTGCTTACAGAGGAGCAGCTGCTTTAGGAATACATTGAGCTATAATCTCAACAGGAGTCTGATTAGATACCAGTTTCTCAACACCCTATTAATTTAAGATGTACGTTTTCTACATTAGTGTTGTGGGCTTTCCTCTGCTTAAGTTGGCATGTTTGAAATGTAAGTGTACTTAAATATTAGAATTTTGTCTTCAAAAAATAAAATGCAACATATTTGTACAGTTGCTTTGTTTTTAACTGGGGGCGAGGAGAAGAAAACACTTGAGTTATAAACTTATTAAATATTCACTCAGCATGAATTGCTGTGCTTGAAACTGTTCGAAATGCTATTCTCTCCCTCCCCAATTTTCACAATATACTGGTCTCTTCCTCCCAGTTTTATTGTATACAATATGAATACCAGATATTGTGTGTACGGTAATATCCTGAATTAATGACATACTTACTATGATTTTTTGGACAGGCTTGTGTCAAAGTCTGTGGCTATGTCGGAAAGCAAGTAGAAAAAATCCGAACTTCAATGGATGGAAAGAATGTCGATACTGTTCTCACAGAATTTGGAGTTCGATTCCATCGCCTAATACATGAGCACCTTCAACAATATACATACAGTTCGATGGGTGGCATGCTTGCTATCTGTGACGTAGCTGAATATCGGAAGTGCGCCAAAGTGTTTAAGGTATGAAGCTTTGATCGAAGTTTTATTGACTCCAGCTTTGCATTATTTCTGAATATTTATGTGTAGCATTTGCTTCCTTCGAATAAGGGTTTAAATAAAATAATGAATGGTGCATAATTCTTAGTTAAAACTATCCTGACTAAAGGTTTTTTTTTACAACTATAAACCAACAATTATTTTAGGAATATAAATGTGCGTTTGATATGATCCCTTTTTAAATTCAAATTGGTAAGAAGTGACATGCTAAATGTAATTCCTTTTATATCAGTGGTTATTTATTTTGCAAAGGTTTATTTTTTCCATGGTCAAATGATACGTGTTCCATTGGTTGAATATTTTTTGTGTCTAGAGTTCTAGCCTGATTTCCCATCTGTTCAAATTTTAAATTACATGAGGAGTCTTTTTAATTTTGTCCGTAGGAATGGTTGACCTGTCTTGCTACAGGTGATGTAGTGGAAAGTGTCCATAAATTGATATTTTAAATTTTTTAGTTTTTGTAAAACCGTTAGTATTTAATCCAAACACCTGTTCACTCGCACATGTAGATCATAGCAGAAAATCGCATAAGTAGAGTAGTTAAATGCAGCCATGCAAACTTGTTCAGAAAATCCATATTCAGAATTGAGGATCAGGCAGGCCTATCCCATTCTCCTAGATTAATCGATGTATCTTTTTGCTTGTACCACCAGATGGTCTTAGATTTTAGTGTAATGCCGGAGACTTATAACGAACAAGAGAGAATTATGTATGGAAATTTCAATTATTGGATCAAAAGAATTTAAATTGCTTTGTTCTAATTATGGTATGTTTATACTCACTGCAGTACAGCAAAGAATAGAATATTGCGGAAATTTATATTTGCTGAAAAACTGAACCAGGACTCTATGCTGAGGTTATAAACCTCTGCCTAATATGTAACTACTTCAAATAAAACAGCATTTGGTCACATTATTTATTATCAGACCTACTGTATCCGATCTTAATCCCCTGCTTTTCATAAATTCCAAAGGATCAACCTATTCTCATTTATGGCTGACTTGCCACAACAAACCTGACTTTAGGTGAGACTTAGTTAGACATTTACCCTATTGCAGGATGTGGATAGTCTTGACCATTCCCTTTGCACCTCATTCATAATATTTCTACAACTTTATTTTGTATTTAACCAATACAGTGCCTTTCTTTTCATTTTACTTTCATTTGGGTTCTATTTTGTTTTAACAATGTTAATTGTTAATATCCTTAAAGCATTTTTGTATATAAAGATCCTAGCTGGATGTTTTTGACCAAAGGTTTATGTGTGGGATATGTAGACTCTATACTAGAACCAGGAAATTGAACTCCAGATTTTAGAAAGTTTACAGGATTGATCTGGATGAAGGCCCAGCCGATCTCATCCTCCAGAACACCTACCCTATTGTCAAGCTGCTTTTTAATTTAGTCCAGGGTCCTGGCCTCTGCCACCTTTCCTGGCAACCTGTTCCAATTGATTATCCTCTGCGTAAAGAGTTGCTCAGATATTGCAGATCCGATGACCTATTTACAGATATTCATATTGTTCTTACTGAACGCCATTCACTATTAACTGATTTGCCCATAACATTCCCCAAAAGTACATAACTTTTTTTGAAAATCCTGAAATAAACTGTCAGTACTTAATACTATGCATTGGGAGCATGAATTGCTGCCCTGCTTCAATAGTAAAGTGCTTGTTATGCTGTGCCACAGACCAAAGGCTTGGGTTTGAATTGCAAGCTTTGCTGGTGTAGGTGCAGAGTTTCTCAAATACAACTGAGTTATTGGATGAGGCTATGAGTGGAAATGCCAGTCAAAGTTAGGGGGGAAATCTACAATGGCTGAAGCAGAAATGGTTGTAGGGAAAGATTGTCAGAAAATTGACTGAATGCTGAAATGCACTGTTTTGAGGAATAAATGAGAAGAAATCAGAACGATTGGGACTGGAGGGCAGAGAGGTGACAAAGGCTGTTCATTTGAATGCAGTTTTGTTGTATACTGTATCTATAGAAGCATTAATTACATAAATGTTGTTTAACCCATTCTAGCTCATACATCTGAATCACAACTATGTCATTGATGTGGTGATGCTTTGAACCAGTGGCACTTCACAGTAATTCACTCTTCAAACGTAACCCATTAATGGAGTGTGCCTTAAATGTGTAAATGAATTCCAAATGGTTAATTTTACTGTTCATGGGCTGCATATTATATCCAAAATACTCCACTTAACATTCTAGGTGGGCTGCATTTTAGGAACATCATGTAAACTTACACTTGAACAGAATTGTATAGGAAAAGAATCTTTCTCCACAATGTTGTTCAGCAAAATGTTTGCAGTGGGTTTGTTTAAAATTAACAGTTTTTCTTGACCTGGAATACTGTTCTGCAGATTTTGCATTCATCTTTGGCTTTCAGATAACAGAAGGTGAAATTTGTTTGGGGGGGTGTTGGGGGGTGAAAAAACTTACTGCAACACTGTAATCTGAACTTTCTGCTTTTTCCTTACAGATCCCCTTGGTGTTGCAACTTTTTGACACGCTACATGCACTCTGTAATCTTCTGGTAGTAGCACCTGACAACCTTAAGCAGGTCTGCTCTGGAGAGCAACTGACTAATCTTGACAGGCACATCCTTCATGCCTTTGTGCAGTTGCGGGCCGACTACAGATCAGCACGCCTTGGTCGTCACTTCAGCTGAAAAGCCTTGATTTCTTTTTGAAATAATGTGGTGTTATTGCTTGGGTTCTGGATGGCTCAGGCATTTAGGCCCTGTTACATGGCCATTGAAAGCAAAGTTGACGGGGATATATTTGTGGTTGTTCACTAAAAAATAAACAGCCGTTACTGAACTATGTTTCATTGAGAAACAGAGGCTGAGTTAATCCAAGCTAAAATGAGTAACAGTTTTGCACAATTTATTGTCTTAACAGTAAATTATCTGGAACGGAACATGTCTGAAACTGCTAACCTTAACTCAGATGCTGCATCCATTACAAGATTCATGTTCACAATAAAAATTAAATCAGGGAGGTTGTTGAAGCACTGAATATTACATTTAAAGTTAAGTTCTATAAGCGCAACTTGTTTGAGGAGAGAATGTACAGTGTTTTATCCAGGTATAATGGATTCACTTCTTACTGTACACAGATATAACACTAGATAAATAGAACCGTAGCTATTTCTACAGCTTTTTGATTACATAGCAGCAGGTATTTCTGCAAGTGGAACACAGTTATTGCTTCATGGTATGTTTTGTTCTGATATGGAGGTGCAGTATAGGAGGGTTATGCCATTCCTCTGTGGATTAACTGAGCAACTTTAGTATTAATAAGCTACTGCAAATAGTATCCTAGTAATAAATACATGCTGTATTGCCATTAACCGGTATTGAGTTTATTGTTCTACACTGCTGGCAGTAGCATAATACCTTTAATGAACAGAAATGAAATAACTCTTGCAGAATTAAGCACTCCAAAAGTCCACTGCCCTTGTAGCTTGTGGGGACTTTTTTCCCCTTTTCCTCGAGGGTGGAGACAAGTTTTAATCTCTGGTATGAGGTCCGACTCCTATTCCCATCAAAATACCAGTAAATGTTTTTTTAACATAAAATCTCCAAAACTGTGTTTACTACTTTAAATATTAATAACCGCTTTGTTAATTCAGTGAAGGAATATTGGACATCAGTGTGTGACGCTGGTACAAGTAGAATGGGTTAATAATTTTTACAGTTTGTACCATTCTTTTTCATGTTCTATGAAATCTTAATTATTATTTCTGAAAGGTTGGTATTTGATGTAATTATTTTTCTTTGCATATTCCATGCAATATGTCTACTTGAAGATGAAAAGGATGGAAAAGGTAAATGGTGGGAAAATGTAAACTTCCACTGGTGATAAAATTGTAAACATCGCTTCATTATTAAACTGCAAGTACCCTGTGCACAGAATGGTGCAGCATTGCTCTTTATTTTGTAGTCTATAAAGTATATAGTGCCTTCACATTGTGTGTTAAGTTATTGGAAAGCTAAGCTGCCTTGGGTTGTGCATTAGTGGTTATCACGTGATATTTAACACATTCCTTCTGACTTCTCATAACTTGGTAACATCTACAAATCTTCACAGCTTATCTATACTAAAGCTCTTTGACAAAAAAAATTCAATTCTGAAAGAAGGAAAACACTGAACTGGTCAAAGAGAATAAACCCACTTGTGTATCAAGGGTTTTTTAGTTGCTATACATCTTTTTTAAAAATTAATGTGGTATTAGTACAATCTTTGTTTTTAATGCTTATTTGTACCATCATCATACATACATATGGTTATCTCGTGCAAAAAAGTGCCTTCTGTCATTCTTAAATAAAAAAAAGTACATTCTCAAATTCTGCACATCAACAAGACCCCTACTATGTCGATGGGTGTGGAATAGGTTAATGTTAATGAAGGTCTGTCAATCTGTATCTAATGCTGGTGGTACTGTTCCATTAATAGAATGCATCACTTTCAATGTCTCCCAGACCACAATTTTATCCTATATTTTTGTTGGAAGGTTTGCTTTTTAAGCTGAAATAGTAAGATGCCAACCAAGTGAGTTTTAAATTTTGAAGAGTCAATCTCACTTTACGCTTCTCTTTGAAGGAAATTTCACCATCAAGTTTAATGATTGGAGTGTTCTTGCTGGAGGTTTCAGACCTTTTGCCTTATTCTACCTAATGTTGCTCAAGCATACAATATCTATAAACTCTTGAGTAACCCATAGCTAAAGCTGGGTGCTGGCAACACAGGGTTGATCAGATGAAATTCTTTGGAGTAGAAACAAGTCATGCATGACCATCTTCTTTGCTGGCACATTGTTATGGGACGTACTCAAGACCATGTTTCTACAATGTTGTTGCTCTACCAAATCTAAGCTTTTAACATGCTTTCTTCATTCTCTGCCCCCCTCTCACATAACACCCACCACCCCCCATATTGTACAGTCAATATGAATCTTATCACCAGGGTAGAGCGCATATGGTAAATTGGTATCGAACATTTCAATAGCTGCTTCAGGCATTCAGCTTTAATGTGTCATTGATGCTTTGGAAGATTCTACCCAAAGCACCTATAATACGGGGTAGGTTGGTTATTATCACGCTCCTTATCACTTTGGAACTCCCTCAACTCCTTCGCCTCACCCCCACCTTCCCCACCCTCGGGTCGCCCCCAAAGACCTTCCTCTTTGACCGCGCCTACGGTCACCTTGTCCCTCCCCCTGGCTCAGCCTCAGGCTCTGCTGTTAAGCGCCCTGAGATGCCGCCCGGCGTGGAGGGCGCTGTATAAATGAAAGTTGTTGTTCTTGTGCAATCAAGTATCTTGAAATTAAAATTATATTGATCCTGCTTCATTGCATCCAAAGTCCAGAATTTCTACTCAAATGTAAGCCAAAATGTTGTTTGTGGGAAATTGCTGTGCGCAATTGGCTGCTGTGTTCACCCACACAGCAATTGTTGCAATTTACAGTAGGATAGTAAAAATTACTTTTTGCCTATATTTGGAGAAATAGCATCTCTTAGTTTTCATCCTAAGGTAAATGGAACACATTTAGTCTTATCAACTGGTCTCGTATTAGGATGCCTATGATGCACTTGGGTATAATGATCCTTACGTTTGATTAGCTGCTTTCACGTCAAGAGGATGTCCCAGAGCGCTTCAAAGGAGTAACTATTCTGTAGGTGAACATACTCATTAGAAGTTTATTATAAACATTTAACTTATGATTTCTCTTGAGGTTATCTGGCTTTCTTACTTATAGCCAGTAGTACAGTATTCAACATAATAGTGCACTATCAACAGTTAGGTACAAGTACAATTTGAACTAATTATTAACTAAATGTCACTTAACTAAGGAAAAAATGAGTTATGAGCACATTTAGAGCTTGTAAATTGACTGGTTCGTTAGGTCAACTGCATGATGGTTTGAGCCAATATTATTTTATATTTATTGTAGCACATTTATGAAATTTGATATACCTCTAGTGGCAATGAGAGTATTGCACAAGGTTTTGGCAAATTACTGTGAATGGGGAATCTTGATTGCTGCACATTCAGTCTTTAATAGCTTTACTCCACAAAGCATTAACAGATTGATGATCAGCATGTGTTCTGTTTACTAATGTTTAGGTGAGTCTGATGAATGCATAATATGGAGTATAATGATCTATCTTTTTCCTTTTTGGGTATAGTGACTTTCATTTTCAATTTAGCTAATCTCAAGCTTTGGACTGAGAGATGTGTCAGTTTCTCGCTATGACTAGCTCAACTCAACTCTGAAAATGTCTGGTTTACCCAACTATTGTATTAATGAAAAACAAGAGCCACCAAGAAATTGGAGAGATTTCTCTTTTATTGTGTCCATTCCTCTTCTGCCAAAATGAGCAATTGATTGGGGAGCATCAACTTTGTCCATTATCTCCAGTTCTTGTCTGCTTCTTTCTGCCAAGAATGATTCATTGATGATTTGGTTGCACGTAGAATTTCTAACCTTTTAAAGGTGGCTTACCTGCATAAGGTAAGCGGTTTGAGACATTTCAAAGATGTGATAAGATACTCTATCAATTGCAAGGACTATTATTATTTGATCCATTTTGTAATGCGTCAAACTATTTGTGTGTGCTTTATAAAAAAGCAAGCTGTTTACATATGAATTACATTTGCATACATTTATGTTGCCAAAAATTGAAAGCACGAACTGAGTTAATAATATGGCAGATAAGATTTAGCTATCCAGAGATTAATAATGTTTGATATGAATGCATGCATCAGTATACCAAGCCTCAAGGCTGATCACGAAGCAGCACTTAAGAATACCAAATTATGCATATTCAGTTTTTTCAAACAGCTTCACTGCCAAAACTGTAGTGTTGTTTTATACCTGTAGATGGTGCGTTTTGATAACCACTGTGCGTTCCTCTTTACCACGTAGGATTTTTCAAGGAAAATACTTTCTCTTAATTGAAATTGCTTGTACATGGGTTTCTAAAAAATTTCTGCCGTCGATTTCTTAATCCCAAAAATTGGCATTTGGAGGTAAGTTGTTCTTGGTGTTAGGGACTTGCTTTTAACTGCAATAACCAAGTGTAGGATGCGTGCGATTTGAAAGCTATTCCAAGCTTTCATACCACATCAAATGACGGTCGTGTTGTGCACAAAGCTGTAGAATGAATAATACAGCACTTTTTGAACTCCTTCAAAACAAATCAGTTGAAAGAGAACATGTTCCTTCCACCGCAGTCATTAGAACAATGTATTTTGGAAGCTGAATTTTTGAACATTTAAAATGTGAAATCTCAAGCCTTAAGTAAATTAGATTTTTTTTAAACTCCTTTGTTGTCGTATCTGCTACCAGCTATTTTAAAATCAGCTGCAGCCATTACCATTTGAAATGCGTGGAAACAGGAAATTGAAGTAAAATAGGACATTGTCTGACTAGAGTTAAGTCTAAACTCCTTGTAATTAAAACTTCAAAGTCTAATGTAAAATATATTTATTGCATTTGTTCAAGAAGGCTTGGTAAGCATTTTTAGAAATTGTATGCATATATCTGAATTAACTTTTAAATTAAAACTTCTTCACTGAAAGGATTGTTGCATTGTCTATTTTGCAAAAAAAAGAATATTTTCAGATTTCACAGGGTATGTCATACAATACAGGAAAATAGTTTTTGGGGGTGCAGTTATTCATATACACTTGAAAGTTGAAAGATTATTGTCTTTCAAGACTCTCAGAAGATCTTTTAATGCCAGAAAATAACACAGTAGATACTATTGTGTTCATCTCATTCTTTTCTACTCTTGATGTGAATTTGTGATTTTTTTTTGCTTAAGAAAAATGAAACTGAAGTTGCTGGTTTTCCTCCTTCAAAATCACGGCGTTATATTATACATTGTACTTCACTTGAAATTAATTTTGTGGCAAGAAAACATGATTAAGTGAAGGTCAATTGATCTGAATCACTTAATGAGGTTATATAAATTCTAATTTTTTGAAATTGACTATAATAACACGTACATGAATGTATCCTAAGCAGGAATTTAAAACATTCCAATTCAAACACTGAAACATTAAAACATTTTTCTGAAGCTGTCTTAACTGCTGCCTAAATGTCCAGACATATGATCTTGGCACTAGGTGCCCTTAATAGAAGAGAGTTTGCTTTGATGAACACAAAAACATCATCAAATAAAATAAATTTAAGAATCAAATTATTTGTGTTGAAACTTCTGGTTGCTAAAGTAGATACTAGAGTAGTTTAGTGAAGAGTTAAGTCATTCCAAAAAACAGATGGTGACCAAAATTATCTAAAAAATCATAATTTTTTAAAAACATATTAGATATTGTAATGGTATCACGACTTTTGGTCATCCTATACCTTCTCTAGATTTGATTAGCTTGCCTCACTTCTCAGTTGGTTGCTGCCTTAATATTACAAGAGTCTTCTGCTAAACGTGCAAGCACTTGTATATCTCCAATTCTGCTTGAATATGCAGGAGAACATCCGTTTCTCCCCCCACACCTCTTCCCCCCACACACATACATACAATTTTGTAGCACACAAATTTGTCTATTTATAGAACACTATACAGGAAATGGAAAATTCTAATCTCGCAGCACTTTGGAAATTGTTCAGAAACGCTATTGTATTTCAAGGATTAATTCCCTAATTACTGTTGTCGAGTTTGATTTGTATTAATCACAGTTGATAAATTTCTTTTGAGAATTCTGTAATTCACGCAGGAAAACTGGTGCAGGGATAGAACAAACAGCATTTGTTTTCTGAAACGGAAGTAGGAAATCTCTTGCTGGAGTAGAAAATAAAAACGTAATTTGCAGCAGGAACGGATGGAACACACTTTGTTAATCTGCCCAGAATACTTAACATGCTGTAACAAAGATCAATGCCTTTT